TTAGATAAGGGTACTGCACAACATTACATTGACCTAATAAAACAAGGACATGTATGGTACAAGCATATAGTATAATATGCCCATATCCTCCTGTAGTCTCAGGACAGGTTGAAGTTAAAATGATTTCTATATCTATATGTGAAGCCTGTATTTCTGTACTATCTGTATTTTTTCAGTGGGATTAGGTAATGAGACCAAAACTCAGAAGTAAAATATTACATGAGAAAATTAAAGAATCTTTAAAACAGAAAAATCACTATATAGTGATATTTCAGGACATAGGCATTGTATCCAAAAATCATCAGAGTCACCTGTTGACTTGATGTGTCCAGCATGCCGTCATTTATGTCCTCCATAAACATTATAGCCTTTATTTCCTTCTCTGTTTTATTTCTGTTGTAATAGTTTCTGGCAAACTGAGATTTTGGCCTTTTGTTCATTTTAAGTCATGGCCACAGAAATTAATGGGGCTTAACTCATGAAAAGCAGAATTTTTTAACTAGGTGTTAATCTGTAACTCAATATTCCAGGTAATCTTGGCTCTACTGAATTCAAATATTCTTTCTTTGACAGGGTGAAAACCCATTTACTGGGAACCAAGATGAACATGACCCCGAGGACTCTGCAGCAATGGATGTATCAGAGCTGGAGATGACGGGGGAGACAACAGAAAACCAGCAAGAAAATCCACAAGCCAAAGATGAGTCCATGGCTGAAGGAGAAAATGTTGGAGAGGCTGCTGAGACAGAAAATGTTGAAGGAGAGGCTGCTCAGGAGGAGAATGCTGAAGGAGAAAATGCAGAAGCTGCTCAAGAGGAAGAACAATCAGCTGTTGCATTTGCGGAGGAAGGAGGAGAGGAAAATATGGAGCAGCAAGAGATTCAGGAAGGAGGAGAGCAGGAAAACCATGGGGAGGAAGGTTTCATTATTGGGGAGGAGGAGGAGGGATATATAGTGCATGATGAAGGAGAAGAGGGATTCCATGATGAGCAGGAAGCAGCAGAGGAATGTCAAGAATGAGTGCAACATCCCTTCTCTGAGCTCTTAATGTGAATATGTTTCTGGACCAGTTGGTGATCACTTCCACTGTTGAATCAATCCAGTTCATTTGGCTGTAAATACCTCTGATGTTTGTGGGGTTGGTCTATCCATTAGGAAGACGTTTTACACTTCGGGTACTACTATACATTTTTGTTAAGATCTAATGCATGACTGACTACCAGTATGTTTGAGAGGCATTTATGAACAGGCAAATCTTGGGACAAACAGCTGGTCTTAATTGTAATGATAAATGCTTGTTTCGTTTTCCTTCTCAACGATACAGGAATTTGAATATCTTTATTTAAACCTTCAAGGCTAATGATGATTCCAAAAAAAAAATTTCAAACTTTAACCCTTTTTGTGAAATGTTGTATATTTTCTTTTAGAAATAATCAGTATTGTAATGTCAAATGCTTGTTTTTTTATTTTCTTTAGTTTACACAGTGACCCAGAACTTAACTGTTTGACAGCAGTTTACAAAGAAGTGAAATTTTACAGCAATGTGAGCTTTTTAATGATGCAGTAAAAGTGTCTGTTAATATTTAGTATGTTTGGGGGGGGGGCACTTTTTGTTTAACTGAAGAAATAAAGTTGTTCAAAACGAAGCCTTTTGTTGCTTTTTTCTGTTAAGTTCCGGTTGTGTAGTTGGAAGGGTTCTGACTTTAAAGTTTGTAGTTCAAGAGAAGTCAATGAAAAATGTTGATCTCAATAGTGATTAGCTTTTTTTTGTTTGTTTCTAAAATGCTGTAAGAGCTACCCTCTCCCATCACTAACAAAAAACTCAGTATATAATGAAGGTGTTATGTAATTGCTCAGCTCATGGTGGGATGGAAATTAATTATGGTTTCCAATTTGTATTGTCTATTTGTCTATTAAGTCATCTTGATCCAATAAGCTGAAATAGAGCTTGAGATGTATGAACATTGATGAGAAAATGTGAAGAGCAAAGAACACAGACTGTGAGGAATAGATTGTGATGCATTTTAAACATTTAAACCAAAGCTATGAACATTTCAAAGCACTGTAGAATCAATTTACAAATGTATTAGAATGGCGCTGTCCAAGGCCCCCCGGCCTAACTTCAACTATATATTATAATATTTTGCAGGCACTTGTCCATTGATCTACAATCAAATCTGACAGAGCTTGAGCTACAGTCATTTTCAGTAGAGAGTGTTTAAAAAAAAAAAAAGGCTATGCATAGCAAGAGGAGAGGCATATGTCTAGCATTTATTTGAAGTAAAAGTAAATACCCACTTTACAGCTATAGACTAATTTGGTTTGATCTGTCATGAGATGGGGTTGTAATGTGACAAAATTTGGAAAAATGTATGGGATTTGAACACTTCAGTAAGGCATTATTACAGAAGTGCAAAATTCTCAAATTTCATGTGCAATCAGCAACCCTCACTGGAAAGATTTAATGTTAATAACTGCAATATTTCAGACTTGTCTGTATGATCTAATTGATCAATTACAGCTAAATAAATCGAACAACAAACACTAGTTTTTATTTTCTTTAAAAGCTAAATAAAAATAAGCAAATGTTTATTTGAACAATTTAATCTCTTAAATTTAGCAGCAGTAGTAATAATAACGGGTATTTGCTTTTTATTATGAGTTTTTTTGTGCAGCTGGTAATTTATTCCTGAAGCAGTTTCCTTTTTGTGTTAGTCCAAACAACACCAGCCTGTTTTGTGGAGGACACGATTACGAGGTGTTGCGTGATCTCACCCGTGGGAGGAGCGGGCCTGTAGGTGACATTTTTCCTCTGACATACATTCGCCCCGCCCCCTTTACGTCTGACGTACACGACGTTGAACGGGACTGTTCTGGATTTGGGGCGAGGAAGGTCTACGAGCGCTGACAAGCCGCTGAACAAGGTAAAAATAGACCTTAATGGTTCCGAGTGGAAGACTTAAGGATATCTAACGATAGCGTACAACTCCGGAGACCTGCTTAGGTGTTAATAATGCTCTTCGTTGCTGTTTTTTCCGCCCTGTCAGTGAGCTCTTCAGCAAGCGGAGCATGAGCTGTCCTCGCAGGCCTTGCAATGGTTCGGCTACATGAGCTATACCTTATTCTGCTCCTTTTATGTGTTCGGTTGAGTGTTCTCATGCACGTCCTGGTTTGTGTCTTCCTCGATTAGATACTTTCGTTGATGTGACCTACGTGACAGTTGTCACTCGGGGCTGTCAGTGTACATGTTAGCGGCAGGGTCGCTGGAACGCTAGTGGTTAGCTGCTAGCCTGTTTGTTTGTAGCACCACAGGCCGTATTCGTGACATAAGTTACGTTCTAAAGATTGCGTAGATGAGGCACTGTGGCGCAGAAACGCATGTGAACTGTGGCGTACGTCGTTACGGGAATACTACCAACGTTGTCGGAGTCGTAGGCTGCGTTCGAATTCATGGGCCGCGTCTTCCAAGGACGCGGTCTACCTGGACTGGATCCTTCGAAGTCCGTGAAAATAAGGAGACCGAAAGAGTTTTGGCTGTGTATTCCAAAAGCTCCAGCCTTCTGCGGCTTTCTTTGCCGTAAACTCTGTCGCTTGGCAACCGTGACAGCTGACTCACAAAGCAGGAAAATAATGAATAGCAAACTTTTCAAAACTGTTTCTTTTTCTTTTTTCATTATTGTAAAATTAATAGACTGCACTCATGAGAATCCAGATTTGAATAAAGAAGCCAACCAACCCTGGGCGTGAACAAATAAAATCCAACGTAATTATATAAGCTTTAGTCAGTTAAATAACACGCTGCTGTCATATAGCACATCCCTGATATTGCTGCTATTTTCAAATATCCATTACTGTAAAAATGTCCATTATTTCCAAGTGCACAGTTTTATATTGTTAAAACTTTACTGTACAGTACTTTATTGTTTATCTTTTAACTCCTCACTCTTATGTTATTCTTATATATTTTTTGTAAGGTCCACTTTTGTGTAAACATCTTTTTCTATAATCTTTTTGCTGCTGTAAACACCAGAATTTCCCCATTGTGGAACAATAAAGGGATTTTCTATTCTGTTCTATAAAAGGAGTTGCAAGATATAAGTAAATCTAAACAATGTATGTATGTATAAACAAATCTGTATAATCTCTTATATTCAACAACAAAAAATACTTAGTTAAACAAATTTTGCAAAATAGCAATTACAATATAAAAATATTAGATTTATTGTCCCCACACTGCAGATATATTAGAATCTATCCTTAAATTACAGCCAAACCCATTTACACAGTAACAGATAAAAACCTTTAGATAAACCAAACATTACTCACCACATATGACTCAATAACCATTAGAACAACTATTTTGATTAATTTTAGACGGAACTATTTACATACTTGGATTATATTAAACTGCACTTTCAATATTCACCAGTTTATTGCACCAACGAACCTTTTTCCTCTGATCACAGAGCAGTTCAAATCGGACGCATTTGTAGGCTGCATAATGAGGACTCTTGGAATCCGACCAGACCCCGGTGCCGCGCTATGATGTAATATGCCTTCAAATCTGGCTTTCGGAGGACGTAGCCCATAAATCGAACGCTCCGTATACTGAAACGCTGTTTACATGCTCAGCTGTCACTTTGTCACAGTGAACATGGTGATCCACTGACATGGAAGGATTTTGGTTTTTGCTAAACACAAATAACTTAGGTAATTTAGGTTGAAAAATATATTGCTCTGAATGCTTTCAAAACAAAACAAAAAAAAAAAAAGCAAAGAACACAAATATATATTTTAATACAAGATATGTCTGTGACTTTTATTATTAGAACACAGTTGAGGATATTGATTTTGTGCTGTCAAATTCTCAATAAAAACTCTTTCAACTTCTCTAAGCTAAAGAGATGTTTTTGTTTTTTTTCCAAACGTGGACAATGAGCAAAAGTATAACACACACCTGCCGATTTTGTAGCAGTATTTCAGTAAACAAGCTTCCGGTTCTTTTTTTGCTGCTTTCGCTCTATATAATTACATTGGAAGTTGTGAAAATATTTTTTTATCTGAGTCATTCCTAACTTTCCTTAATATCCACATGTTGTATATATTTATTGCTAATATGTTAAAGCTTCTGCTCTAAACATTTTCTCCTTAGTTTTTGGAAAAACAAAAGCTTAATACTGATAACTTGGTAGTAATCCTTCGAAAAAACATATGACGACTATGAAGAAGGATCTTAATGTCTTAACTCCATTTATACTATTTTTATCGTTTATACTTATTGCTTTTGTTGGAAAAACCTTTTCAAAACTACAGCTTTTAATCTGCAAATATTATAAATATTGAAATCCAATGACATAATCCAAAATTGGCAGATTGTTGCTCAGCTGCTTTAGCTGTATCATTAAATTACCATTCAGCCTTATGTACATCAGGGCTCAACCATTTTCCAAAAGTTTAAATTGTGATTTATTTTGAGCAATATTGTGTTTGTATTTTCCTCTTCACTAAGCATGAGCATGCACATGTTTCACTCCAGCGTTTTATTGTTTTCATGACCTTGAAACTTTGTTTTGAGTCCATTGTTGCAGGACTTTACTCTTAGTGCTACGTGGAGAATTGCTGACTTTTAGCTTGAATGCATGAATCTGCAGACTAGCTGCAGCTCTCCTTTCCCTTTAGTGTGGCGGTAAACCCACCTTAAAGCGTATTGCAGCTACCTGAAAGGCTGGAGTGAGAAAGTCTGTGTATTACTCTTGTTAAATGCAAGGTGACCAAACCTTGATCCCTTTGTGATTAGAAAATTAAATTTTGTACAATATCAATTATATGCAAATGCTAATTGATTGCTCAGCCCAAATCTACATAATAGGAAAACATAATCAATTATTTTATTGTTTTTAAACTGATTTGACTTTAAAGTCTGTTTACCAATTTCTAATTCAATTATACCGTTTTCATATAAACCCTTAAGATTTGATAAGATTACCTTCACTTCTACCACAGTCAACTGAGCATTGCCCTCTCTGGTTTTATAAATAGTAACTGGACATATCTTGTCATACTGTTTACCTGTAGGTGTAAAGCTCGCTCGCTTGTCGCAGACAAGCAATCCCCTGTTACCTGAGGAGATTGCCGCCCCACCAACCAAGATATGATTAAACTAGTGGATTAGACCGTAGCGGCCACAGGATCAACCATGTGAGTGTCTAAAAGTTGTTATCTTAGGTGATTGGTAGAACATAAATGTTTGTATTTCACATTTATATTGAGACTTGAAAAATAAACAGATTTGCTCATATTTTTCATGACCTTTTAATCTTTTGCATTGAAATGTTGGGATAGAAAAGAAGTTAACCTCCTTTTTTGAGCATTAAAGCTGTAGCCTGTAACTTTTGATTGAGATTATTTGAGAGATTTCTAAATCACTGACTTGATGCAAAGAAAGCAATCTGTCATAGTTTTTATTTTGCTCATATTCCAACGTGACAAATCCAAGGCCTGAAGCTACAACCTCAACCAAAAGAATTACTTATTTGTTTGGAAGGAGCTGCCAATAGAGTATGCGCAGCAGTGTGAGAAAGAAATAATCTGCCCCAGTCAGCCAGGGAGGCTGTTAGAGAAATCAGACAGGATTATTCTCTATTTCTGCCTCTTAAAGTCGTAGGAAAATCATATTTAAATTTCAAATCATTCTGGCTGAAACATGTATATAAATGTACTCTTTATCAGACTATATTGTCCCAAAATTTAGAACATTTCTATTAAAAAAAAAAAAAAAAAAATCCATTCTTAAAATCTGTGTTTTTTTCCTGTTATTTTATGCAGGCTGGTTAGTTATCTCAGCTTCTACAGCTAAATTGTACACCGACCACAATCAAACTTGCCTTCAAACCTTCCGCGACAACAACCCCAACGTCTTGATGATCGACCAATCAAATTCACTTTATTCACTAGTGTAAAGTCGTGCACCACTCGGGAAAATTCGGAAATGCCGTTTCCCCACAAATTTATTTTTTAAACGAAATTTAAAACCGCACACTAAAGATGCACACATCCATTTTTTTCCAGTGTGATATGAAACCTGGGCTGAACGTATAGCAGATACCGATCCAATTGAACTGTCGAATGAATAGAAATTTATTTCAGACGATTTGACAAACAACAAATTCAACGGGTTAAGTCAAAGAGTCGAAGGTGCGTTTAGAGTCACCACATGCACATCCAGCAGCAGGGAATCCTAAAACGTCAACAAGCTGATGCAATCAGCTGGGATTCCTCAAATCTTTTAACTAATCTTTTTACTAAGCTGTCTGGATGATTGGATTAAATTGTATCCTGTAATGTGGCTTGAGATGATGTGTAGTGAATTGGCGCTGTGTAAATAAACTGATTTGAACTTGAGTCAAAGGACCTGAGTGGTCTAAGTGGGACATACAGGAAGCTATTAGAATGACTTAAGAACTGTAGTGATGTGAGACAGCTGATAACATAAAACTACTTATCTTGCAATCAGTAAAGCAATTAGCTCAAAAGTTTATGGACTACAAAATTAATTTGTTGTAGATTTTGGCAGAAGAAGAAATACAACTGGATCAATGTTTTTGTCTGTTAAGTGCTGGCCTTTTTTGATACAATCACTTTTTTTTGCATTTTATCGCAAGTTTATTAGCTACTACAAGGCTGCTTTTTACTTTAATAGGTCAGCATTGTAGATCATGTTCTGATCTCTTGAGGGGTTTTATTAACTGGTATCATTTTAAACCCCTACATGTGAAATTTGTATCTGAAATCCTACAGTTTAAAGAGAAAACACATTGCTGGCGTGTGACATCACTTCGACATACAGTTTATACAAGATACTTATATGCGTTTTCTTTACTGACGAACAGGTTGTGTTTAAGATGATTTTGAATAAATAAAAATAAAGTATTGGAGTTGGAACTGTTGGTAGTTCACAGAGCGACACCTGAAACAGACTGCTGTTCAAAGTTCATCAGTAAAAAAGAAAGAAAATGTTTTCAATGGCATTGAGTAAAAAGACATTATTTTGGTAATGCTTAAAAGTTTTGTCTGATCTAATTTCAGACTGTAAAATAATACTTTGTGTCTTTTTTTATGTAATATATTTTATCTGGGGTCAAGGGTGAGTTGACCTTCATGGGTTATCTCTTCGTTTTGTTTGAGCGGTAGGTTAAAGGCTTTTCGATGAAGTATGCTTTTCATCTGGGCTTGAATCTGTGTTGACTGCAGTTCCCTTTTGCCCAAAATTGGTGATAAAGGATATTATCAGCAGTTGTTTTGGTAAAAAAAAAAAAAAAAAAAAAATCCCATTTTATATGTTGTTCATGTGGAACATAATTGTTTTCTCACCTTGAACTGAATAAAGACAAACGTTTGCTGCAGATACCAGCTCTCGGTTGTCATGGCAAAGATGAAGTGATATGTGTTTTTCTGTTCTTCTTCCTATCATACACTGAGGCATTTAGGATCTAAGCAGCAAGCAGGCAACATATTATTTGAATAGATACTTGACTGATGGGTTTGTTAGTTTCTCAAAGATTATTTTAAGAAACAAAAATTTTTATTGACAGTGGATCTTGTGTTTTTTTTTTTTTATTATTATTATCATTGTCCTTTTAGAGGGTCGAAGGAGGAGTGTAATGGCCTGAGGGGGTTCCCCCCACTACAACCTGCCCCTGCCAGGTCCAAACCACCTAATCTGCCTGCTCAGTCACTGCAACCCACTGCTGTGATGGGAGACGGACTGGAGGCAGGCAGCAGCCAGAACCCTCCCTCCGCCACAGCACCTCTCCCCTTCAACCCCCCTCCTCCAGAAACATGGAACCCTTCCAGACCCAAACGACAGACCAATCAGCTTCAGGTAGTTTCATTTTCTCTTTGTACAAGTCGCCTCTGTCCAATGGTGCGTCTTTGAACCAGATGTTTATTTTTGGATGTCTCTGCTCTTTTCAGTACCTGCTCAAAGTGGTGCTGAAGACATTGTGGAAACACCAGTTTGCATGGCCCTTTCAGGCACCTGTAGATGCAGTCAAACTGAATTTGCCTGTGAGTCATTTTTTATTTCAAGCTTACTTGTAATCACACCATATAAATCCTGTTGGCACTGAAGCTGCAGCCAAATAACTTTTACATGCAAACATCAGAGTCGTGTAAGTTGATGTTTTGTTGACAGAAAATAACCAAAGATTTAGAGACATTTCTTAAACCTGGGATTCTGTTCCTGGCTGTAGTTAATCAGCTGAAAACGGATTAGTTTGTTGGTCTGAATATAATTATTTTAGTCTGAGAAGAAAATGCAAATTTTTCTGTTTTGTTATTAATCATACTGAAATTAAATCAATCCTGAGCTCCTTTTTTGAAAGACTAAGTTCACCACTTTAACCCAGTTGTTGCTCCCAACCAAGAAAAGCTTGCAAACTTCTGAGAATTTACTGAAACCCCCTAAGTTAAATCACGCAATATACTAGCTTATCATAGTAAATGTTGAAACTCATTAATCTGCATGTAGAAAAAAACTAAATACGTGTAACTTGTTTGGGTTGGTTGGTAAAGGAAAGACTCTTCTAGAAGAAACAACATGGCAACATGGCACAAAGTGGACAAAGTTCCACCTGAATGAACCCTTAAACTTTTGGACAATTGTCTTTTAGGTCACAGTTTAGCCTTAATTCACATAATAATGTTTAGAGGAAACCCAAATAACACATCAGTGAAAAGTCCCTGGCCCATGGACCAAGGCACGTTACAGCACTTAAGCTAACCAAGAGCTGCGTTCTCTCCTTAAGTGTTGTGGAGCTTGGCTGATATTGGTTTTTGAAAGTAATAGAGCAAAGTTATTATGACGAGGGAACCTAACTTCCTCCATAGTGCATTACTTTATCAGAGAGTCATGCAGAAAAATTACTTCTCCAGGTAATAACTGATCAATCTGGTTCTACAAGCTTTCGAATCATCTGGTGTTCCTAGCTCTTTATTCACAGCCTGACTATTCTGGATTTTTCGTTAAAAAAATCAAGCGTGTAATCTGCACGGTTTGCTATTTATTTAAAGGTTCACTCTTAAATTGTTTTTGGCTAGAGTGAAGATCAAATTATCTGCTTCCTGATACACAAATCCTTAGATTTGAAAGATAATGTTTTACCATGATTATATATAAAATCTCTTATTTTTATTTGAAGAAGTTTGTGTTATTTCTTTAAGGATGATATATATTTATTCTGCCTCACACACATGCTATAAACTTTTTTTTTTTAACCAAGGACTACTACAAGATAATAAAGAATCCTATGGACATGGGCACAATAAGAAAACGCCTGGAAAACAACTACTACTGGAACGCCCAGGAGTGTATCCAAGACTTCAGCACAATGTTCACAAACTGCTACATCTACAACAAGGTTAGCAGAGGAAAGTTATCCTGTTCTTTTACAAGAGAACAGGGGGGTTTATGTATTAAGATCAGAGAGTAAAGAAAGGTTTTATGAAAATCATGCAAGGAAAAGCTCAGGGAAATAAGAGTATTTTGAATTCTGTTCAGTCTAGAGTGTGTTTTAACTGTAAGCACATGTTCATGTTCTCATATTCTCAGCCTGGAGATGATATTGTCCTTATGGCTGAGGCTTTGGAAAAGCTTTTCCTGCAGAAGATCACAGAGATGCCGCAGGAAGAGGTAGAGATTGCTGTGGTCACTAAGGGACGACGTGTGGGGAGGCGGGAGCCCTGTAAGTATAGCCACCCATTTTTAAATTAAAGATAAACCGACACCGTTTTTTTGTTTTGTTTTTAAGACTGAAACCGATTATTTTAACCCCAGTTTAACCAATCCTGATATGTGCTCCTGACATTTTATTTTTAAACCGTTTATGACCTAAAATAGAACAAAGATTTGCTAGGACATATTTCTACATGCTGTATAGCCATTTTTGAAGCATTTCAATTGGTAAGAGGTCTTTCCAAATGTTAATTTATGGGAATTAAGTCTTATTTTAACTGAAGAAAATCCAAAAAGGTGCAGCTCAGCAATAGAAAAAGGAAATTAAATTTTTTACACATATTTTTCTAAATACAGAAAATTCCCAGCTTTGTCCCTCAAAAATGTCCTGTAAAAAAGTTACACAAAGTCATTTCGAAACAGAACATTCATTTGGAGTGTGTATACCTTCATTTTTGACATACACAGACTTTCTAAAACTGAGACAAACATGAAAAAATATGGACATTGTGAACCATTGGAGGAAAAAATGTATGTGTACCTCAAAATGAAGTGTTTACCTTATTGCAATCAAATCTTTAACACTCGATACATATGAACACATGTGTAAACTATCAAAAGTGAAATTTTTTACGGTTTTGAAACTTTAAACACAAAAAGTAGGATTCAAAAACACAGCATGAACACCTTAACCCTATTGATTATATATTATTTACAATACTGAAAACAAAAACGGAGTAAAGATCAGTTTTCGATCCGATCGGAGGTGCAGTGATGGACCATTTGACAGCTCTTGTCCACTATCGCACGCTGAGATTTTACACGCCTCACACATGAAGCTCGTGCATTTGTCTCACACCCTGCACTTCAAGCATCTCTGTGTGGATTTCTTGGAGACTGAGGTTACCTCAGCCATGGCCATAGGGATGTGCTGATAGGCCTCTGGTGGTTGTAGACTGCTCCTGACAGCCTGGTGGGTCAGCAGCTGCCGATTCAGTCTGCCACACAGCTCCTTGTGCAACAGGTAGCTGTTTATTACAGCAATGTCCACAAAGTGATGCTAGTCTGTCAGATACAACTTCTTGCTCTTTCTACATTAGAAAAAAGATCCAAACAACTGGTCAGAAACGTGAACTTTCCAGCCCAAGGCATTTATATTCCTCCACAGATGGTTTGAGTTGGTGACTCAGGGGGCAGGGGCTCTATGTCATGGGAAGGATCTAATCCCCCAATAAACTCTGCTTCTTCTCTGGTGTCTGTGGAATCCAACCTAGATCACAGTCCCCACCTTCATCCAGCGCCATAATCAGCTCCAAGTAAAAAACTGCGGGTGTCTTGGTGTCTGTTGATTATGTGGTCTGTTTATGCGTGTGTTTGAAGTGAAAGTGAAACTACTAAAATACTGGTTAGTGTAAAAGACTACAAAAGACGAGGTAAAAAAGAACTTTTGCGGGAAAAACTACAACTCCTTGGGGAAAATACACATCACTTCTGGGTGTTTTCCCGGTCGGTGGGAGGTTAGAAAACCCTGAGGGGTCCATCCACCCATTACATCACGTATGTTTAGGGTTTCCGAGGGGCATTAAAAATCATTAAAAGTCATACTTTTTTTTTTTTAAATTAAGGCCTTTTAAATGTGATTATCAGCGGCATTTAAAATGCTTTATTTGTTTTCTAAAAATATACGCTCATATCATCAGATACATTATATCAGATATAACAAACACGCTGAACTGCTTCCGGTTGATCGTAAAGCCGTATGTTTTTACGTTGTTCGGAAAAGAAGCTTGAGGAGGAGAAAGAGCTACGGGAAATGGGGAAAATGCAAATTTCAACAAGTGGGTGGATAACGAGGAATTTGGGACGTGGCTGCAGCCTGTCGATGGTAAAGATGACGAAGAATTTTGCTGTGTTTGTAAAAAAAATTAAGCTTTGTACAATGGGTGTCAATGCTTTACGATCTCACATGAAGACTGACAGGCAGTGGTGTAGTCCAGGGTATACACGGGTACACGGCATATACCCACTTATTTTTCAGTCATCAATTCCGTAAACGAAATTTGTGCCTTTTTTTGAGTGGGCAGTGAGACAAGTATTCAGCGTTTAAACATAACGCACGCTCAAAACCTGTTTGGTGCGCACTTGACCTGATACTTACACGCTCAACAACAGCTGAACGCCCGCTCTGCTCTGGCTGTGCGGTCGTGACTTCAAAAACTGTCCACCTCGCCAGCCAATCACAGACAGGTTTCTTGCTTCCAATTAGAATATGGCTTGCAAATACTGTATTCAGATGGAATAAATCAAAATGCTTCAGCTTTTGGCAGAAATGACTAAACATAATGGATTAAAGAAAAAACAACCAATAACCAGTTTAATATTTTAGCCTAAAATATTTAGTTTAAAATAATTAATTGAGTTACTGAATGAGGTATGACAAATGTTTTTGTCTCTTTCCAGCTTCTGGGAGGTGATGCAAAAGTTTCTTGTTATCCTAATTATCATCATTGTCATCATTATTTACATAGCATTTTAACAAGAGGTAAAACAAAATAACATCTAATAAAATTACTTGGGTAAAGACTCAACAATTTAAAACAATAATAATAAATAGCTGTTTAAATCCTTAAAAACAACCAGAAGTTCTTTAAAGTGAACTCTAAGATAAACAGGCAACCAGTGAAGGGAGGCCAGGATGGGATAATGTGCTGTCTTTTATGTTTTTTTTTATTAAAAGGTGTGCAGCATTGGAACCAGCTGCAGACTTTTGAGTGAGGACTGACTGATTTAAAGATAAATATAATTACACTAATCCAGCCATGATGAAATAAAGGCTTGGAGTAGGGGTTCCATATTTTTTCCTTGAAAGAATAGGTTTTACCTTTGCTTTGTTCCTTCAATGATAAGAATGACTAAACTTAGGTCCTTTTTTGACTGTCAAGTTTTAAATCACCGTCCATTATAAAAACGATGTTCATAAATTGGGGCTAAACATTCATTGTCAGGGGCCTAAATAAACTGCATCAACACTTCTTTGGGTGTTTCAACTGGTATATCTGACAATTCATGATTTTCAAAGACAATGTTTGAGTTTTAATGGTCTCCTCATCACTATCTTTATCTCTTTCTATAGATTCTCTTTCTCATTCAATTCAGGACTTTGCATTTGCCTTTTCATCTAGGTCTATTTTGAAAAACTTACAAGTAAACCTAAAGTGTATATATGCAGTCAGTATATGTATATGTATATATATATATATATATATATATATATATATATATAAATAAATTAATTCTCAGAGCATTAAAAAGCATTAAATTAGGGTTACTCGCCCCTGTATAAACCCTGATATTGCAAAGTAGGAAGTACACAGCGGGCTGGATTGGATTTAAAATCTAAAGCAAAATGAAAATGGTTTTAATTTTGCCTTTGGTTTAACTTAACTCTCTTATTTGGTTGCAATTATACATAAAATAAAACAAAACAGATGTGAGCGCAAATGTGAGTGCCATGCCCCCGTTGGTCATAAAGGGTTAACAATGCTTGATTAGAAAGCACAGGGAGAGTGGCAAAAATGTTGGTGTATATCTAGTTCAGATGCACATTTAATCATGAGAAAATGATTAGTTTGTTTAATAAAGACTGCCTTGTTAACTTAGAATAAAAAACCTGTGTTGTTGTTTTTAGTAAAAAGAGTGCCTTTCTTAGTAATGACAGATGAACAGCAAGTCAGCAACAATTAGTTTCCAAGACTTAATTTATCGGCATGTAAATGGTTCTAATCCAACTGGCTGAACTTGTCAGGACACAGACAAGCTTGAGCTTGTCCCCAAAGGGTTATATTCTAATGCTTGGTTGAATCAGGTTTTGTTTTCTTAAAGCATTTTTGTTGTGTAGTTAACTGTTATTTAACATTACTTTACACAGGCCTTCGTATGAATATGCTGTTTTTTTATCTCATTGTGTGTACACATCTATCTATTCTTTGCTCCAGCTCTAATGACCATGTCGGATTCAGGCCAAGACTCATCTTCTCCTTCTACTACTCCACATACTAGAGGTTTTTCATCCCCTGCAACCACTCCACACACCCGTGGCACACCAACACAACCCGTAGCCCAGCTCCTACCCCAACCTTTAGTCCCGCCTTTACACCAACCCTTACCCCAGACTTTAGCCCAGCCCTTAGCTCTTCCTCAAGTCCAAACCCAACTCCCACGGGTACCTCCTACACCAACAAACCACGCTTCTCATCTTGCTGCCACGTTCCCCCTCTCAACCCCAGATGTCCTCGCCCAAGGTATGACATGTGTCCCTCCTCCAGCCTTGACGCACCCAGGCCTCCATCCTGCTCCAGTGCTGCCGAGCTCCCCGGTCCCTGTTAAGGTGAGGATACGTCCACACTTGCTCTGATTTCCTGTGGCCAAATATTCTGTTTCTGACAGAAAAATCAACCGATTTCAACAGCCAAGGAAAAGCCAGAAGAGGAAAGCTGATACCACCACACCTACAGCCAATGACCAGCTAAGCGAATCACCTCCAGTGTCGGATGTGACTCGGCCTCGTAGGGACAGCACTCGGCCATCAAAGCAGCCTAAAAGAGACTCCCTGCAGCCGGACTCCCAGCACTTTATAGGCGGAGGCTTGGAGACGGGAGGGACGGGGATATCGAAGCGTCAGGATCAGTTGCGTTTCTGCGCACGCCTTGTCAGAGAGATGTTGTCTAAGAAACATTTAGCTTATGCCTGGCCTTTTCACAAACCTGTTGATGCAAAAGCTCTCAACCTACACGACTACCATGACATCATCAAGCATCCAATGGATCTCAGCACCATCAAGGTGATTTTGTCTCTTCTTAAACTTTGGTCACTACAGCCAGACTGGGTTCTGTGTTTGGTTATTTGTACAGTTACTTTTTAGATAGGTTTAACCAGATTTCCAGATTTAAACCAGACATTTGCATGTTAGAAAGAAGCATTTAATCAGAGTTTATCATTAAGGTAGACTAAATGTTTTAGATCAATTAGGATATTAAAAATCACTTCTATTTTTTTATAAATTGAATGCAGTTCAGAAGATTATATTCTGTGCCTCTTAAAGGAAAAATCTGGTCAGCAAGGAATAACCAGTCATTTATACCTGAAACTAATACATTTGCTGTGATTTCATGGATTTAGTTTTAATCAATAAAAAAATAAAAAAATTTGTTGTCGCGATCACTAAGTCTGGGAACAATTTTGCCCAAATATAGTAACACCTATCTCCTGACATCTACCGGCAGTCAAGTCACGGTGCCATAAGCCTAGCGCCATTCTCTCTGCTTTAACTATTAGACACATCTGTAATCAACAACAATTATTTAAGATTTCCAGAGGACTGCAACATTGAAATTCTGAGCTATAGTTAAACTGACAGTGCCCACGTGCATGGCAGTTGGATGTTGGATTACGTCGGGGAAAATAATATTTAAAAATTGGTTATTTCACCTTTCTAATTCATGATCCTCCATGGACGGGTTCGTCGTTAGATTGCCAACTTGATGAGGGAGGATTTGCCATCGAACTTCTGGCCAGAGAAAAACACCTCATTAATCCGTTACTCTCTGCTTTGTATAGTGCACTGGTCCAATGCTACATCTGGACAAACACCAGATACAGCATTGGGACTTGCTCAGCAGCCGATACCGCACTGTGACCTCACACACCAGTAGAGGACAGTAGTGTTTTTTGAAAAACATGGATGTCTCCAGTAAAGCACATTCAAATGAAAGTGTATTCTTGCCCGATAGAGGGCGAAGCCATCACCCCAAAACCAACATAGACAGATTCAAGTTTATTCATAGCCTGAGGAACAAAGTCCCTGATTTGTTTATACATTTACTGCTGTTCTTTGCACATAAATGTTACCTTTTATTTCTAAATTGAAAAATATAAGCTTTCTACTCGGAATTGCTTCCAGACTAAAGAATCTCAAGAAACCAGACCAGAAATGACATATTGGGCTGAATTAAATTCCAAATATTCAGTGACCTTTAGCCTGATTAGTCACAAAGTTGCCTAAGAAAAACAAAGGTTGCTGTCACAAAACCCTGATGTTAGTTTCAAGGGAAATCTGTGGTCAGCACTGAAAGCATCTGTCCAAGATGTCTCTAGCAAACTGTTGGGAGAAACATGTGAAAGGATACCTAAAATATTAGTCAGGACTTGAAGTTTAAGAAAAAATCTGCTTAATATTGAGATGTAAAGTTCTGAATTCAAGAGAGATCGAAATCCTTTTCTGTCACGATTCTGTTTTTTTGCTCTAAAAATGTTTTCCTTTTTCCAAATGGCCTAAAGTACTGAAGGTTTATACTTTAATGTCAGTCTGACCAGAGTTTTCTATTTTAAACTACACATTTTCTACTGTTAAGCACATTTCATCTGATCATGAATTTTGAGTTTCATAGATTAATTTAAAGGATATAAATGAAAAACTTTCGATGAAATAAGTTGATAATTGTAAACATTTTGCTTTTCAGAAAAAGCTAGATAACAGACAGTACAGAGACGCCCAAGAGGTTGCTGCAGACGTCCGGTTGATGTTCTCCAACTGCTACAAGTACAATCCACCAGACCATGATGTTGTATCCATGGCACGTAAACTGCAGGTAAAATCCCCCAGGTTTCAGTCAAGGCTGCCACTTAGGATTATTTTTCAGAAAATAACCAATCCACAAACATTTCAAATAACTTGTATATTCTACTTTTTTTTACAGTTTTTAGAAAAAACTAATTTTGATAAAGCTATAAAACATACAATATTGATAATACATTGGTAGAATGACTTTTTAATGATGCAAATCATTATAATATTTGATATATTAAGGGGCAAAAATAAAACTCCCTTTAAATATTTAACTCTATAATAAATATGTCTCTCAAATATTAATTAAGCCTTATTTCATAGAGAATCTTTTCACAGAGTTGCCTAAAGCGCTGAGGAAGTATGTGGAACAATTTTTTAAACCAGGACATTTTTGCTTCTACTTTTCATGCATATTTCACACTAAGGCTCAATCTAAACGCAGCAAATTGGAGCTTCCAGCTCCTGTGCCTTCACTTTTCATGGGGTCAACAGTAGGAGCACCATCATAGGCAGGAGGAGCTCTGCACTGCTGTCCTGAATCTAGACAGCCTTTGGCATAAAGCACACCATTAAGTGACAGAATCACATGGAAGATGCTTGTCAAATCAGGACTGCAGGCTCTCAAAAAAGCTCTCCAAAAAAAAGGATTTGTGGAAAATATTTGGAGCCATGGTCTTTGTTGGAACACCCTTTTCTTTGGCACATTTTTCACACTAAATTAGCTGAAATGCATGGAAATGGCATCTCTATTAAAAGCCCTCTAACATTTCCAGTTCACTCCAGAAATACTCAGTTACAATCAGTTCCAGGCAGCATTTAATTCTGGAATAATCTCAGCGGCATTGCACTGTTTTTACCAGTAAATTTTTTTTTTGTTTATTTTTTTATATGGTGAAAAAAATGTGTTTAACAATTTTTCTAAAGTCTTGATATGTTTTTAAAAGGTAAAAAAAAACAAGCAGTTTTGCACAGTTTTTACCATATAAACATTTTTTGCACAACCTACTGTCTACCTGAACAACTTATAAATGACTCCAGATTTCCCTCTTAGCATCAATTCCGTTCAACTTTTGACTGTCAATTCTTAAAGAAATACACCCGTTTTGGGTCACAGCTGTCTTTTACTTTGCCTTTAATCCCAATGGATTGTAAAATGATGCCCAAGTTTGCAATAATAATCTACATTTCTTACACTTTTTTGAAGGGCTTAGTTGAAGGGCTTAGTGCAGTGGAAGCTGTCTTTAGGTGCTTCATGCTTGTTGGACAACAATCAAATGAATTAACGCCACCTTGTGGGGACAGCGCATTACAACTAGATAGCTGCAGGAGAAAGCACATTTTATAACAATGTGTAAACTTTGGGCATCAGATTCAGTTTAGTCTTCATTTAGCAACTTAGATAACATCCAGAAATTGTATTTCTATTCATAATAAGCAAAATGGCTTAAATATATTTAAAACAAATAGTCTTGAGAGAAAAAGCTTGGCTTAAAGCATCTTTTGGAGCACATGGCGAACATGGTGATGGCGGAATGTTTATTCCTATTAAGCACAGTGTTTCTGTTCCTGTCCTCCATTTTCAGGATGTGTTTGAGATGCGCTTTGCTAAAATGCCAGATGAATCAGAAGAGCTCACTCCAGTTCCCACACCGTCTTTGGCCCTCCATTCTGTACCATCTACTCGACAAGTCCCTCCTCCATCTGCTGCATCAGAAGACGACAGCTCAAGCTCCTCTGATTCCGAGTCCTCCAGAGGAGGCTCTGAACAGGAACGGCAACAGAGACTGGCTGAGCTACAGGAGCAGGTTAGATCAGAGGTGGCCATGATTTATGCTTTTTGTTTTTTCTTGGAAATGCAAAGACAAAAATATATATATTTTGCTTATCCCATTCACAATAAACTAAGAAAATGAAATGAAATGCATGAAATAAGAAAAAGTGGGTGAGGAGAAAAAAAAATTGGTCAAGGAATTTTTTTCTGCTCTTCCTCACAAAGCTGAAATGTCAAGAATAAAAAATATAGTGTTGAGAATAAAGGGGAACTCTCAATGGAAAAAGTTTGAAACGATTTGAAGAATAAAGTCGATAATAACAGAAGTGGACATGAATAATGACAGACACACGCTTGACAGTGTACATCGTTTTTTTAAAATTTATATTTCAACTTAATTCTCAACATTTTAACTTGACGGACTTGGAAAAGGGGAAAAAAATTCCCTCCCCTGATATTTTTTCTCACTGTGGCCATAATACTACATTGTAAAATACAAATCAGTATGGGTTGAGGGGAAAAAACAACCCAGCATACAAGCTGATAAAAATCATTCTATTTTTGCTATTTTTTTGTGGGTTTTTTTCTTTGTATTTTAGCAACAACACTAGGATTTGGATCACTCTGGTTTTATTTAGCTTTAGTTTTATAAATGGGTTTGTCTGAGTTTGCTTCTCAGTCAGACAGTGGGTGATTGTGCACCTAATTACTGTCAAAATCTACCTAAACCCAAAAGCCTGGTTGCTAAAAAGTGATACTTTTTCCATTTGATGAAGATTTGAATCAGGCCTTATGTTTTTAAAAGGGCCTGGGATCAGGGAAAATGTGTCCTCTTACATGTGTTTATATCAGCAGCCTGAGCAGGCAAACCTAATTTATGCTACAATTGAAAAATTGACATATTTGTTTATTTAAATGTTGTCAATTCACAGCAAATGTTGTTTAAAAGCACTTTTCAAAACTAGTCACCTGAATCAAATCTCACTGTTAGAATTCAAGGTGACTTATATTCCAGTTTGATCCTAAATATCACTGTAGTCAACTTTAGTTTGTCTGAGTTAAAAAGTTTGGTAAAAGGTTTTCTATCTAAGGAATTGTGGTCGAGGGCTGCACAAAATCGTTCAGAGGGCTGCAGATGGCCCCCAAGCCGCACTTTGGACATCCCTGGGGTAGGTGAATGGAAATGGAACGGAAAGGCTGGCCTTATCAAACCCGACTTGATACTGAAACACGGAGCGGATGATTCAGTAATGTTTTATGGCATTAATAGTTGTTTTATTTATTCTTTTAACCTTGTAGCTCAAAGCTGTGCATGAACAGCTGGCAGCGCTTTCCCAGCCGCAGACCAGCAAACCCAAGAAGAAAGAGAGAGACAAAAAAGAGAAGAAGAAGGAAAAGCATAAAAAGAAGTTGGAAGCAGATGAACCTGCAAAAACTCCTCCTCATGCAGTCCTTCAGCCTCCTAAGAAAAGCAAGAACAAAGATCCTGTCATGATAAAGGAGAGGAAAAAGTCCAGGTATGGTTCCTGCAGACAAGAGCCTTCAGTCATAATGTTACAGCTTGAAATGAGACTGAATCAATTATTTGTTATCACAGTAAAAAAGATGACATCAAAAACAGCCGACCCGCTGTGCCCCCTCCTTCAGCCCCCGTCGCTCTTCTGCCTTCAGCTTCTCTGGAAGCAGAGGATGATACAGGTATGTTTACTACAGAGCAGACATTCCTTATATTACCCTCTTTCCTGCACACAGGGAATCCTCACAGTTTGGAAAGATCTGGAATTTCATTATAGATTTTGTTGAAACTGAAAAATTATGAGATCAAATAAAATTTCCCTTTTTAGACTCATCCATATCCCTTTCTCTAAAGGTTGTCTTTCCTTGTATATGTCTTTCTGTCCTTATTGTCTTTATTGGTGCTTTCTAAAGCCAGTTTGACCTAAAGATTTCTGGTGTAAAAGTATCAGACGTAAACTGTGTAATTTTTATATCTAAATTGTTTAAAACAACCTTTTTTTAACGTGTACTAACATGAAATGTTCATTAATCAACAGCCCACTGTAAACATCTGCAATGTTTTTTCTGTCCAGATGTTGCTGTTTGCAAGCCGATGTCTTATGAGGAGAAGCGCCAGCTGAGCCTGGATATAAACAAACTGCCTGGTGACAAACTAGGCCGAGTCGTGCACATAATCCAGACGCGTGAGCCATCGCTGAAAAACTCTAATCCAGATGAAATAGAGATTGACTTTGAGACCCTGAAGCCCTCCACACTGAGGGAGCTGGAAAAGTATGTTTCTACCTGCCTCAAAAAGAAGAAAAAACCATCAGGTAGGCTTTTTATGTGAAGTAAAGGTAAAGAAAACATAATAAGTTTGATCTCTGCAATTAACTGATTTATTTAGTCTCTACAGCAGTAATCAACAGACCTCAGTTTGAATGGAACAGTGATAGAGCGGATTTACTAAATGTTTATTCGGTTGATTACATTAAGAATGAAACCTCTTAAGTTTGAAATAAACATTATTTTGGCTTGAGAAGTCAAACCAGTGGTACACAGCTGTTCAACACAAAGTCTAGACTGAATTTTTATTGAACACAGAGAACCTAAGATGCGTCAGCAGTTCTTCTTCGACCATTGTGAACCACAACAATGCGTTCATTTCAGATAAATACCGCTCTGTTCCGTCTTGAACTGCTTGCAAAATATCAAAGGGTGTATTTAAACAAAAATGTCTGCAAAAAATAAAGAGAATTCAAGTTGTCTCATTAAGAAGCCATTGTAGAAAAGGTCCAACATCCAACCCACTCTAAACACAATATATTTTATTGGAACATAGGGATATAATTCAGTAGCACAAAATTTAAAATGTTAATATTGCATATCAAAGCAATACAAAAAAGGTTATTATGAGGTGTGTCCTTTAGGCTCACACTATTTGTCTACACTTCAGGTGAGAAAATAAGTATTTCTGGAGGTGCTCTGTGTTTCTGGTGCTAAATCTCAATAATTCTTTATTTAGTTCAAACAAGGTATTCCAAAGTGAAAGTCAAAATCCTGGGTCTCTTTACCAGCTTTTTTTTTGTTTGTATGCTTGTATTTTTGTGAACCACTGGATCATAAGAGCAGAGAAGAGACCAACACCAGTTTTAACTTGTTAATCGGGAGGTGGGGTTAGCCACCCACCTGCTGCACTGAAGTTAGCCTCTGGTTTAAAGATTCCTGTCTGCACTAAAATTTAGGCAGAGCTGGATTATATGGAGCAAACAAATGGATGTTTTTCAATCACTGGTCATTGTAATATAGTTTAAAATTAATCCATATCTGTTTCAGTGGAAATTAAGAGAGCAAATTAAAATAGAAATTATTAAAAAAAAAGTTGTCTTTAAGCTTGTGGAACATTATCGATGAAAGCAAAATGAAAGGTTAAGTTTCACTCTTGTGCTTAGCCATACATTGATATTTGTAACTGTGTAAAAGGTCAAACATATTTCATCAAAAGGACCAAATCCTGTTTATACCACCTGTTTAAAATGTTCCCTGTAATGTAATAATGCTGAAAGTTTTTATTTTAAAAAAGCAGCAGTATTCGATCATTGGAGTCAAAATCTAAAGTACTCGAGCTACAAAGATTTAAAAACAGTTTCATTGGTGTTTTGTTTTATTTTTATTAGCCTTCAATGAAACCCAATATGCGTATTTCTTTTGGGATTGATTTCTAAAAAAAAAAAAATGATGGCTTTTGTTTTAGTAGAGAAGTCTCTGGAAATGGCCAAGATAAAGACGGGATCTTCATCTTCAGGCAGCAGTGATTCCTCAGACAGTGAAGACTCTGAGAATGGTAACGTCTTCTCCCTCTGTGTGTCTGCCTGGATTCATTCAGCTTATCCACCTTCAGTTGTAAACTATCCTTTTCTGTTTTGTAGCATATTATCTGAAATCTAATTTCTCTGTCTATGAAGGGCTGGTTCCCAAGCAACAGAAAAAGACTTCTACCAACAAGGACTTCAAGAGAGGACACCACCAGGCTCCCAGCAGTGGGACGATCCCAGCTGCTCCCACAGCTCAAACGCAGCCTCAGCTGGTCCAATCAAAACCCCAGTTTGTAGCTGCGCCTTCTGTCCCGCCTCTGGATTCGTCTCAGCTCATGTCATCAGGATTTGATCCTCTGGCCCACTTCATGAACTCTCACCTGACTGATTCTAACACAGAGTCCAGCGCAGCGGTTACAGCTGCTGTAGCTACTCTGACCCCTGGCCTAATTAATGCCAACGCACCCACCAACCAGACACCAACTGAAACGCATCCTTTCCTAAACCAGCATCCAATCATACCTTCCCCAGGTTTGTAGTCTGAAGCAACATCATTGTCTCTGCTTTATATAATTGTGGACTAAAAAGCTGTTCATCAAAAGACATTCGCACACATGACCTTATTTCAATGTTAGCTGAAAGCTCCTCAAAATTATTTGATGAATGTTAGTGATATCACTAAGACTGAACTCTTAAGGTTAGAGGACATTTTTTGCCTTTTACCTTTAGTATCTCTGCTTCTGTCTCCTTGAACCCCAGTCGGCCTTAGCAGATTGCTGCTCACACTGAGCCTAGTTCTGCTGGAGCTTTCTTCCTGTTAAAAGGGAGTTTTCCTCTCCACTGTCGCTACAAGCATGCTTAGTGTGAGGTTCAAGTGAATGAGTCGATGCAATCAGCTGGTTTTCCTTAGAAGGAAAACTTTGAATCAGTTTGACTGTATGATCTGGTTGAAATGTAAATACACTTGCCTGCATATGACGTGTTGTGAATTGGCACTATATAAATGAACTGAAATGAATTGAACTTTTTATATTGAGTTAGTTGTTTGTGAAATCAGCCTTAAAATAGCATCAATTCTAAACTTAAAATTCAATGTTTGCCCTTGATTTTAGTATATAAACCTCTTTCTCTGGTGTTAGTTGCTGTTTTTTGCCTCAAATGTTGTTCAGGAATGTAGATGTGATATTTTTAGTTTTAAAGTATTTCAATATTTTATTTTTCCTTGTCTGCAGCGATCCACAATGCTCTTCCCCAGCAACCACCCAGACCCAGCAACCGTGCTGCACCTCTTCCGCCCAAACCTCAACCAGCCTCCTCCTCTCTCCCTTCCCTGGTTCCGTCTGCGGCCCCGCAAGTTCAACCCACTCTTCCCCTGAACCTCCCTCAGCCTGTTCCCCGCCCACGTGTCCCATCCCCACCATCACACGGCATTCTGGGTACCCTCTCAGCTTCACCTCCCCAAGCTTTGTTGGAGGATGACGAAGAGCCCACGGCAAACAGCTCTGAAACAACACAGCTCAGTCAGGTTCACAACCTCCTGCAGTCGCTTCAGGCGAGACCCACAGCGCCGCCGCCGCCGCTGCGCACACACTCACCTGGACAGGCTGCTCCTCAGCTCATGCCATCAATGCACACACAGGGCATGACACAAGCCCCTCCTACCCAGACACAGAGACACATCCCGACTCATGTGACGCAGCTGTTCCCAAATGCCCACATCTCGGCGCCTCAGCAGCAAAAGGGAGCAGCCCTGCAACAGAAGGTACAACAGTTACAACATCAGCAACAACCATCCCCACAAAACACAGCAGAGGCCTTCTCTAATAAAGGTAAGTGTCCTCTGGCCCTCTCAGATATACCTCCTCATCAGTCTTTTGATAGTTACTAAAAGACTATGGTCTAATCATAATACATAGATGCTAGTTAACGGTAGTAGAGAAAACCGTCTGAGGCTCAGAGGTTAGTTTTACACAAATTGCTGAGAAAAATATTTGTCCACATAAATATTTTAAAGCCATTTGGTTCTCTGAAAACAAACAACTGATTTAATTTAACCACCAGGGCTGCAGGATCAAAAGCTCAGATTTATAATAAGAATTAGATTTGTTGGCTAAGATTGTGTATAGAAGTAAGGGATCTGACATAAGTTAAAGTGCGATATTTGTGTATGTGTACATAAACCTATTGTCATTTTTCTTTTTTATTGCAAATTTATGGTAGTATATTAGCAATCCACTCTGGCTCTCAAATTGTAATAGGTTTCCATCAGTCTGACAGCCTGAGGGAAGAACCCTCTCTGTGGTCGCTGGTTTTTGCGAATGGCGCCAAACTGAAGTTGTGTCCAGGATGTATTGGGTTGGCATAAATTTAGCTGCTTCTTTCCTGACCCTAGACCCGTAGAACTCTATAATGGAGGTGAGGTCAGGCCTGGATCCTCCTTGCAGAGCCAATTGTTGGTTGCAGTTTGGACCTTTCCTGTGACTACTTGGGATGTTGCAGAAAATACAGTCTGTACTGGACCTTCTTCTGAACACTGCCTGCATGTGAGGGCGAGCTCAGGTCCAAAGAAAAAGTAGGTTCTTGAACCTGGAAGTGGTCCACAGTGGATCCAGTGTGGTTAGAGGAGGGAGTGTCTATATACTGAGATCTATCAGGATATAATTTATTCAATAACGGTCAGATGAAATTTAAACACATTTTTTGGTATTTCAATGTTTCTGTTGTCCGTGGTTACAGTGTTTCACTGACTGACGTTCATGAAGATCTGATCGCTTAAACGCAACCTGTCTGACCTGTCATGAGGTCATCTCATGTCTGACAAGAAACATACTAAATCTTCTTAGTCATTGATAAGGCTTTTGCTATTTTTTTCTGAGGAATGTGCTTCTTGTTAGATCTGCTGTGAAACAACTCAGCTTTCCAAAAAAAGAACATATCTACATTCATACATGGTGGTGGTAGTGTGGTGCTCTGGGCTCCCCTGATGCATCTGACTCAATAACCATTAAAACAACTATTTTCTTTCATTTCAGACGGAACTATTCACATACTTGTATTATATTAAACTGAACTTACAATTTTCAACACTATTTGGCACCAAGTGCCTTTTTCCTTTGATCACGGAGCAGCTGGCTTGCTTGGTCTCTCAATGAATCCTGGGAAAACCAAGGATGAGCGAGGATACATCAGATCGTCCTTCAAGAAGGGCGCATTTTAAGGCCACATAGCGAGGAGTCTTGGAATCCAAACAGACCTCGGCGTCGTGCTATGACGTAACCGTGCTTCGCATTTGGCCTTCTGGATACGCATCCCATGAATTCAAGCAGGGCCAATGAGTCGATGCAATCAGCTGGTTTTCCTTTGATAGAAAACTTTGAACCAATTTAACTGTATGATCTGGTTAAATTGTCTCTGTAAAGTGCCTTTAGATGACATTCATTCGTGAATTGGAGCAATATAAATAAACTGAATTAAATTATATTATTGACTGGCATTTAACATCCTGAGATAAACGAAAAACATTAACTTACTGCAACAACCAACAGCTCTATATGACTAACATCAGAAACCTGCAACCAATAAGATATTATTTATATTTTGCTGTTTATTTGTTAATATTTACCTATGACAGGTTGCTGAAGATACGCAGGTGTTTCTACTATCCATACTGTGGTGCTATTTAGCTCAGCTCTAAACTCAACTGTGGTCAGTAACAGAAAAAATGCTTCCTGTGTTTAGGCTGCCTGCGTGAAAGCCCCTCCCCTCTGATGATGCATTCGCCTCAAATGCCTCAGTTTCATCCTATGGGACAGCAGTCACCTTTACAGACCAAAAAACATGTAAGCACATCAGGAATGTTTTATTACTGTATGGATGGGAGGAGGCTGCATTAAGGTCTTTGAAAGTTTTTCTTGATCATATATATCCACTGATTTGCCTTCTTTTAGGAACAGAGATCCAACCTGGTTGGAGTTAAAGAGGAGAAGCTTCCACAGTCTCCTGGTCTACCTTCTTCACCTTTCAATCCTGCAATTCGTCAAGACGCAAACAAACCTGACAACACACACAGTGAGTAAAAGATTTAATCTCGTAAGAAAAGGTCAAATGTAATTTATATGCAATTAATATCCTATACATTTTACAACAGTTGATATTTTTACAGAAACCATTTTTATCCTTAAGTTTTGTCAGCTTTGATTTTAACAACAGAATAATGTTATCAAGTCACAAGCTTGAATTAAAATCTCCAGTTAAATGCTGAGAAAATCCAGTCAACATTTGGTATGTTTAAGTTTTACAGATTCCTAAATTAGGCTGATCTGAGTCAGATCATCTGATGTGATAACCCTTTTTTGGTCTGTTCAATCTGAATATAAGCATTTACATACAAGTGTTTAAAGTTATCTAAAACATTAAGAGTATAAAGCACAAAAAATAGGAATTCAGAAAAGTCTAGAAGTTTGTCATATACGTTTTTAAAGAGGCCACAATAATTCAATAAAAAAAAAAACCTAGTTGTTGTAGATGTGAATAGCCATTGGCAGAAAGGATCTCCTGTTAATAAGTATATAAACAAGATAAAGTGATTAAGCATTTACTGAAATCAGTGAACCTTTCCAAAGATATTTTATTTCTCTTTGATAATATTTTAATTTGTTTGACTTGGCATACTGTCTAGATACACAAACTGAGTTTGATGTTTCATGTTATGAACAGCTTCTAAATTCCCTTAACTGTGTATCTAACTTTAAATGACTTTTACAACAAAGTGAGGAAGGAAATGGTTAAAAGCAGGTTTTAGTTAAGGTTTGAGGTTAACTTTCTCATTTCTTCCTTAGGTGTAGAGATAAAGCCACTTGATGGTTCTCGCCCCGTCCCCCGCCTCCCAAACTCCTCATCACCGGCTGCCTCCCAGCAGGACATTAAAGTCAAGCAAGAACCCAAGACCCCGATTACATCCAAGAAAACTCAGGTCTGCACAAGTTACATACAAAAAAACTAACTTCCATTGTTTTTTTTTGTTTTGTTTTTCTGACAAATTTTCTATTTCTTTCTAGGATGTGAAATTAAAGAACATGGGTTCCTGGGCCAGCCTGGCTCAGAGGTCCCAGTCTGCCCCGACCTCATCACTGCGCTCATCTAGTGACAGTTTCGAAAGGTACAGACGGGCGGCCATAGAGAAAGAGGAGAGGGAGAGACAGCTGAAAGTGCAGGCGGAGCAGGCAAAGAGAGTGCAAGAAATGCTACGGTAAGTGAGAGGGACATATCACTGGAGAAGTAGACTGTGACTTATCCCAAAGCAAAAGATCTTCTCCTTCCCAACATGATGAAAAGCTCCAGCAGAATCGCCACAGGATGAGCGTCCATCCAACAGGAGAACAGGAAGGAGATCAGATTGTCTTGTCTTGTTTATCTTTCTTCCTTTGGTCCTCCAATCATCCTTCCCATGTTTCCTGCCATCCTCGTGTTCTTTTAGCAGTTGAACAGCTGAGAAGTTTACGATGAAAAATGTTTAATCGTCATGTTGGTTAATGAACCTTTCAGTGTCATTGTTTTCATCAACAAACATCTCAATATTAGAACATATGAAAGCATGAGGTGGCTCAAAGTTGTTGCCTCTTTCTGTGTTGTAGCCGTGACGACGATGACACAATGGAGCAGGGTCGTCGAGGGCGACAGTCACCCCTTGCTCCAACCCCTCCAGCCCAGTCCTCTCCGCCCAGTCACTCCCCTCAAGCTCCTCCTGCCCCTGCCAAACAGGCCGCGCCTCCGCCCCCCTCGGCTGCACACAGCGCTCTGGACCAGCAGAGGGACAGGGAGCGCCTTCGCGAGCGGGACAGGCGCTGGAGAGAGGCGGTAAGATCTGTGCTGTGGTTTAGATCTTTAGATTTTGTTTTGTCCTTAGCTATGATCCTTTTATGACCGTACATTTTGTTCTTGTGTTTTCCTGCAGATGACGGATAATATTGACATTAATTTCCAGAGTGAGCTGATGGCCATTTTCGAGGAGAGTCTTTTCTGAAAGCTAAAGGATGATGGAACGAGAGAAGGACTTAAAGTTACAACATTTGCATATTTACAAAAAAAAACAAAAACAAAAAAAAAACATGCAACAAAGCTCTGAGATACATGGCTGCCGCCGATACAATTCCACATCCTGGACCTAACAGCATCTGTCCTTGTCTCTCGCTTGTCGTGATTTGGAACGAAGGATGAAGGGTTTTCTCTCTCCCAGCCTCACATATGTTTGTTGCTTGATGTTATTAGTTACTTATTGATCTCCAAGGACAACGAGATAAACAAGCACCGTCTGAAACATTAAGAAGAGAATTCTGATTTAATCTACTGGATTATGTTAAATTAAGAGACTGGAGCAAATTGTAGGGGGGCTTTAAAAAACAGGAAAACAGATGGCTTTTTAAAAACTTTTATTCTGTATCCGGATGGTTTGAAATTTGAGTTATTTTGGTTAAGTTTGTAAGAAATGTCGGCTATCATTAGAAGTTTGTTTTCTTAGGACAAATTGGAGGGGGGAAAAAAAACCACCCTCTTCGTTTGACCTTCCTCTTCCCTCTGCAACTTTCAGGAGCGAAACTAAAAAAAGATGATCATGTGTTAAAAGTTTCTAAATGTGTCCCTTGCCTTAGCGCTCTGGCCTGTAAACTAATCACACCCTACAAATTATACATATTATATATATGAATAGATACACAAATATATATATATTATATATGATGAAAAGTCAGTGAAGAAGAATGAGAGGGATATTATTTGTGGAGAGCAAAGCTCGTGTCTGTGTTCATCTCTGAGCTATGGTTTTGATTTTGTAGACTTTACTGTAAAGAAGAAAAAACTTTTTTATGATTCTATTCAGAGGATTGTTTCGTCTGTCTTACTCTCACGTTTTCATTTATTTTTTCTTAACTCTATGCCAAAACCAATCCATTGAGTGCTGAAAGTTGTTTCACATATAAAATGCATTGTCTTTTCACTTTCTATTAAACAATGTCATCCTTGCTATTTAATTTTGCTTTCCCCCCCAATTTAAAATCTGAAGTTATGCAACAGTTTTTTCTGTTTAATAGTTGCAAATCAGTTTCGAATGAATTTCATGTGATAAATAAGTCCCATCCTTTTTTTTTATGGATCTGCACTCAGTTGCGGAATTGGTTTTTAAAACCCTTGTTTCCTTCATGTGAATATTTTAGCCTGTTCTACCGATCTCATCTGCCATGATAATCCGTACAGCTTCTACATCCCTATGCTAGCTTTGTTTTTTCTCTCTTCTATCACTTTATCTTTACTCAGTCGTCTTTAGTGAGAGCTTTTTTGGATTTTTGTGCCATTGTGTTTATCTGGTGGAAGCTATGACCGGTTTTTGTAGGTCGGCTCGGAGATCCAAGAGTGTTTTCATTTATCATTTTCTTCTATCGTTTCCTTTTTTTTTTGTATTTCCTGCATTTTGCTGTCCTTTCTTCACAGCTTCGAGGTTTCTCTTTTTCCTTTGCTCTTTTTTTTTTTTCTTTGATTTATCTCATCCAGAACAATGTGTTTGTATGTTGGTGAGTGAGGCATTGAGGTCAATAGATTCATCTTCATATAATGGAGTACAGCATTTTTTTTTTTTTTTAAGAAAAGTATTAAAATGATATTTAAAAAACCTATGTTGGAGCTTGTCTCTTTTTATTTCAATTTTAGAACCTGGAAGTTCTACAGATTATTTATTAAAATCAATATGTTTTGTTGCAGCTCAGTTAAATTTTTCTTTCACTTTGTCCCACTAGAATATAAAAATGGTTTTAAAGTACCGGTAGTATTTTTCATTTATGAGTAAACACTTATTATTCCTAGCTGGTTGTGTCCAAACTTTGCAGCCACAGCTGCTTTCAAACCTACGTCATAAATCAGAGGAACTCCCTCAGCAGAGCCGTTTGAGGACATCTTAATCTGTTTTTACACTGGACTTTGACCAGACTACTCCAAAGCATTTCATGTTTTTGTCAGAGCTAAGTGTTCTGCTACGCTTACCTATACAGACCTGTATAAGTAAGGAACGTAGTCCCAGACCATCACACTAGCACTCCAATGTTTTCTGTCTTTCTAGTGCATTTAGTCTAAAATGCTGGTAGTTATTTGTAATAGGATGGTCTTGTGATCATTGAGGTAAATGTTAGCTATGCTTTATCTTTGCTATTTTTGCCCATTTGTTTTATAAAAACACTCCTAAAAAATAAGGCATCTGTTTTGCAACCTTGTTTTTGGGTTTTTTAAGAACCCAAAAATTGTTTGCATTGACAGATATGGAAGCCACAGTCCAACATCAACTGATAACAATAAGCCCGCTTCACAGGTTGGATGAGATTACATTTGGTTAGTGTGAAAGGTCAGGACTTCAAACTTAAACAACACTGATTTATGAGAAATCATTTTTGAAGGAAAAATGAAAACTAGATATTTACATATTCAGTTAAATACAAGATAGCTACACCTACGTTTGTTATTTTTGTCTATTCTCTGAAATAATATTGAGGAAACTTTTCCCCGTAATGTACTTCATCCTCCTCTCCTACCTGGAAATGTAGTCACTCTTAATGCAAAGGAATCTTCTATGAGTCACATTAGGGCAAATATTTTATTACTTCCTGTCAGGGTGCTGTTTGCATGCCTACAAAAAAAACAAGAAAAGTTCATGTAATGATTACAAATGCCCCCACCTACCCTGGTGGAAAAACGACATGGCAGGCCTGGGTGAATGACGGAATGAAGTTTTAAAGCGCTTTGGTCAAGTTGTCTGACTTATGTGCTGTATAAGTCAAGCCATTTAGCATGTAGGAGAAAATACAAATGTATAGAAAAGTTCAAAGGGTGACCACAAAATATCTTTTTACAAACCGAGGTACAGTGAAAAGGTTTAGGTTGAACCATATTCATCTTGAAATAGTGCAAAGTTCAGGCCTTGATTCAAGCAAAAGTGTGGCAAGGCTTGGTATTTGAGTTTAAGGCATGATCTAACTAAACTTGTGGTCTAAAACAGGGGTCTTCAACATTCTTTAGGCCAAGGACCCCCAAACCGATGGCAAGATGGAGCGCAAATTATATATATTTTATGAATTTGTGTTATATTTAACTAGTCCTATAATCACTCCATTACAGATGGAGTCATGTGACGAAAGTAATTTTGCCCTGAGATTATTAAAGTATTCCTATTTCTTGTTCGATTGGACAGGTGTTGTGAATGAAATGGTCCCCAGCTTGAAAGAGCTCCTTTGTGTCGCTGTATGTGTGCATTGATGACTGAAAGACATC